CTTACCCCTCCACTCCTGCCAGTAAAGCACAGTTTCAGTTTGCCCGGCCATATGGAGCAGCCTGAGGGAATAGCCTCTAGACCAGGGGTCTCCAACCTTTTTGTGAGTGAGGGCTCCCTGAAGGGATAAAATAGTCTCAAGGGCTACTTGTTTGATATACTCCAATATATTTTTTATATATCGTGATATCTTGCCATTAATAAACATTAATTATTTCTCACAAGCATTTAACATTTTTTTATTAATCCAGGAAAATATTCCAGATGAATTTATAAAAATAGGCTATCATACAATATTGATATTTATCATGATATTCATTTACCATTAATGGGGAAGGAAATGTGTTCCACGTGTTTGCTAGACCTTGAGAATGAAGGTAAACATAACTTTGTTCACAATTAAATTCCACAGAGGAGCTACGTTTTAATTCGGGGCCCCATGAAATGCATTTCATTTTCCCCTAAATTCTGTGTTTTCCATTTGATTTCTTATGGATTCTGTGTTTTATGATTCAGTACAAATGTATCATAAAAAATGGTGTCTAGTGAAATGTCACGTGTGTTTGAGTTTGTGTATCAGATGAAACTACTCCACGCATTCACACAGACCATGCAGACATATTAGCGACATGCACCGACTGAAGATGATAGAAACTCTTTTACAACTAAATTTATACAACTATTTAATACAATTAATATGATGACCTAAAATATATAATAATTTACTTACTATTTGTACATAATACAATGCCCTTTTTTAAGTGTTTTTTTTACATAAAGTTCATAAAAAAAGAAAAATAAATAAGTAAATTATTGCAAGACTGACCTTAAAATCCCTTTGATCCTTCTACCAGCAGATGTCGTCGCTGCACTTTCCGATAAACTCTTTTTCTCACTAGCAAACTTAACCTGGATTAACCTTATTATTTAACTATTAAAACAGTTTTTGTTCTCCATTATTTTTTATTTGATTAAAAATATATATTTACCTATGTATTCTTTTTAATTTTTTTTATTTAGGACCACTGCTAAGCATTGAAAATGCATTTAATTAAAAATTATTGTACTTAATAATATAGAAATTAGGACATCAAGAGTAAAAACTGACTGACAGATTAAAACATTTTTTTAAATGAAATCTGAACATTTTATTTAATTCTGTTCGATATTCTGGTACTAAAAACGAATTGTTAGAACCCCATTCCTTGAAGACTGGCAAAAAAAATACTCGAAGACAAGAGATGAGTTAAGAGTAACGTTATAAGGTTACCACGCATAACTCAGTATATATTCCATAATACATTTGTAGACAGACCTTCCATGGCCGGTTCACCTGGAGCTGGGTGCCGTGGTGGGTCAGTTTCTTCTCCCTGCAGCCAGAGTTTGACCCATAGACTGTTGACCAGAGCAAAGCAACCACACAACTGACCTCAAATCAGCGCGCCAGGCACATGCACTCACTGACATCAGCGCCCGGCGCGGCAAAGTCTGAAATGACATCATTCAAGCCAACGCGGATAGTGGTGCCTTTTCAAATGCCTGATCATAATTACATACAGCTGGGCAAAAACTATCATATGATTTCATGTCTTCTCCATGGTATTTTAGACAAACAAAATGAGATATATGAGTTCTGAGGAACATTTCCCGCTCTTTCACGGGTTTTTGTTGAGTTGTCTTTCTGTGCGATAATTTAAGACTCGTACTACGATAAAGGCGTTGCTCATGAATATTAATATAGTCTCTTCGTTAAAACTTTCATATGCATAAATAATATTCATGACCCAACCTATGCGCCCGCTTCTAGCGTCTGCGTTAACTACAGTACTTATTTAATATTCATAAGACAGTCCTTCGCTGTAGTAGGATAGGCAATTCGCGAAGCGTCTCATGTGAGGTCCTCAGGCAGTCAGTGTGCGCCTCCCTTTGTGCCTCTCCACTCAAGATGGCTCCCGTTTTAGAGAAGAAGCTACTGGGCGCAGCCGGGACAGGCGACACTATGGAAAACAGCAACGAGGATGATGAAGGACAAAACCTCTGGTACGCCCGCACCCTTAAAGTGTCCAGCAGTGCAGCGGATTTCGCAGGGAGTTAGTTTATTTGACAGTTGATGTGCTGCTTTGTCACCAGCCGGGTGCTGCCCAGTTCAGACGCCGGTCCCGGATGAGCCCAAAACACTTTACATAAACTTATAGCAAAGTCTGAGTCTGGCTAGATTAGACCTTTACAACGGGCGAAATAACGATGGAAGTCTTCGGAGGCTTTGATTGTCTCGCTTTATATGCTCATGTAATGCTTACTGGTGTGACTAGCGTTTGTTAAAACTCGACGGTTTATGTTGAGTTCAAGTCGTTTCGGAAGAAGCCTTGCTTCGCTGATTTTCTATATGTACGAGTGGTGATTTCTTTTTATTATTATGATAAGTGTCAGGAGACTGACTCCTGGTGTCTGTTTCTGATGGGATCTAACGGTTGACTGACATCAATCAGTAGTGAGAGGTTCCTTGTGGTAACGGCCTTTTCCGGATGTTTTGGTGGCATCATAGCACATAGTTACAGTTGTCTGCCGTCAGAACTAACCATCAAACTACTAACTACCGTATTAAACCTATGTTTGTTGATGGTATGGCTGCCAATTGGTCGGTGCTCACTTGTCGTTTTGTCCCTCAGGTCTTCAATCCTCAGCGAAGTTTCCACACGCTCCAGCTCTAAATTGCCTTCTGGGAAAAATATACTGCTTTTTGGTATGTGCCTTTTTTGCTGGATTTGGTTTTCAATCCAAATTCATGGCTTATTAAAAGTTTTGCTTCCAAATGTCGATATGCGCATGCATTCAAATGAAAACTTTAGGTTAATACCTTTGAGCACAGTATAGGGATCTGATATTGAAGGTTAGTTAACAAACAAATGAAAAGTCTGCCATTTAATCATCACCCTCATGTTGTTCCAAACACGTATGCTTTCTTCTGTGGAACAAAAATGAAAGAATGCTGGTAAACAAACTGTTTTGGTTACCTTTCACTTGTATTGTATGGACAGAAAATATCAAAATATCTTCTGATGTGTTCTGCATAAGAAAAAAAAGTTGTGCAGGTTTGGGATGTTATGAGGGTGGGATCACAGAATTTTCATTTTTGGGTAAACTATCCTTTTAACTTTGTCCCAGTCATGAACTGAAATCACTGTCTTTGTCTAAACACTCTAATTACTACTTATATGCCATGTTTATTAAAAGTGATATGATTTCTGCTTATGTCTTAGGGGAGGATGGTTCAGGAAAGACAACACTCATGTCAAAACTTCAAGGAGCCGAGCACAATAAGAAAGGTAGAGGGCTGGAATACTTGTACCTGAATGTCCAGGATGAAGACAGAGATGGTAAGTGCGTTTATACTGGGTAAAAGTAGGTGATAAAAGTTTAAATGAATTTGTGAACTAGGTCTGTCATGATGATAAAACTTGTTGGGTGCCATAGCTGCGATTAACTATTTCGTTTTTTTTAAGTCATTTATTCACACTGAATATGAAATGTATTCCTATAATGCTTTGTAAACAAAATTCTATGAAAAATGACATGTAAAATAATAGTTTTAAGTATTGTTTTTTTTTAAATTCTCTTTTGGTCTGTGGAAAATGCAGTCTATTCAGTTTTTTTAATTTACAATTTACAAAACTTCCAGATTTGACTCGCTGCAGCGTTTGGATCCTGGATGGAGACCTGTACCACAAAGGCTTGCTGAAGTTTGCAGTGACTGCTGAGTCGCTGAAGGACAGTCTAGCGGTGTTCGTGGTGGACATGTCACGGCCTTGGACCATCATGGAGTCATTGCAGAAGTGGACGAGTGTGCTGCGTGAACACGTGGACAAACTGAAGATCGCACCGGAGGAAATGAAAGAGATGGAGCAGAGTAGTAAGTGCTGTTTTGTATTTTTACTACTAGGATGAAGTAGAACCAACGTCTTGGTCTTAGCTTGTGCAGGACATTCAGATTCAAGTGCGATTGTGAGTGATAGCATGTACATGAAGTCTACCTCCAGCTGTCTTACTGCTAGACGTCTTATTCCACTTTATTGTTCATACCATATCAACCCATGTCAGGCAGATGGGAACATGGATGTTTATACTATTTTTGTCAGTTTTCAAATATGCTTTTTCTTGTGAGAATTGTTTTGATCATATGTAAATGTTGAGATTCAGTAGCAGACAGTGACACTGCTACATTTACATGTTGACTTTGGGAGAAGAATTGGCATCAGACAGAGTAGAGTAAATAACAGATTGTGATGCAGTAGTAAATACACAAATGAATTCCTTGTAACACAGCAGTTGCGGAATTTGAGGTTTTGGTGGTGGTGGTTGTTTTTTTTTTGATATGGTGAAGAATGATGATGTTTCAGTGCCTGAACATTAGGACAAAGTTTATTTCCATTGTGAATTCAGTGTAAGTGATGCTAGTTCAAAAGCCATGTGAATTAGCCTTGGTCTAGGTATTCTTCTGCTTTTATTAACGGGGTCATATGATGTTGCTAAAAAGAACATTATTTTGTGTATTTGGTGTAATGAAATGTTTTTATGCGGTATAAGGTTAAAAAAAACATTATTTTCCACATACTGTACTTTATTGTTTCTCCTCTATGCCACGCCTTTCTGAAACGCGTAGATTTTTACAAAGCTCATCGGTCTGAAAAGCGAGGTGTGCTCTGCGTGTGATGGAAATGTAACGGCCCTTACCATACTGTGATGCCGTGTCCCGGCAGGAGCGACAAGACAAAAACATTAAAACACATTATAAACGAGGCATTTGTTGCATCCAGTGGGGACATAATTACGGATTATAATGACTTATACTGTCTTTTTACGCATTGCGTTGCATCGCGCCACGTAAACATAAAACCATGTCTGCATTTGTGATCGGAGGAACGACAAACAACAAGCGCTACTCTACACCGCTCAAAACTCGCGTTTGAATCATCAGTGGCAAATTCTTTAAATATGAAAACGTACTTGCAGTCTGTTAGTCAGAACAGCCGGCATTGTAGTCTACTCTACCAGGATCAGGAAACAGTCCTCCATAAAATGTGCTGCACACATCTGAATATTTGGGTTGAACTGTTCTGGAAAAGTGTTGTAAATACAACTTAACCACTGATTTCTAGTCGTGTCCTCTTTTGGAAAGCCAAACAAAGTAGTTTCGCTTTCACAACGAAACACACAGCGTCACACACGGCAGCCTAGAGTGAGCAGAGGCTGGGGGCTAGAGTGAGGAATGGCCGGAGGGCTAGAGTGACCGGAGGCCGGCTTGAGAACGGCGCGGCCGGTGGATTTGATAAAGTAGCGGCCGGTGGGCTTGCTGCAACCACATGTGACGACCCCAGGCTGGACTCCGCTTCGTCCACGGTGAAAGCCGATCCGGCGATCCACAGCACGAAGTTGAAGTATTTCCTCAGCGACCAGCACAGATCAGCTCTAGGCATGACTACGCAGATATCGTCCTCTTTTGGAAGGACAAACAAAGTAGTTTCGCTTTCACAACGAAACACACAGCGCCTTCACGACATCAGCAACAATACTACAGCGAGAATAAAAGTTATGCCTTCTTTCTTTGCGTGAACATTTGGGTGGCATTATGCAAATCTTCCCACATCGTGACGTAGATATGTGGGGGCGTGTTAGAATGAGCTATTTTAGGTAGGCGTGGTTTACTCTTAACTTTTATAAAGAATATCTCTTTGGATTTGAGACTTTAGTCTTTGCAACTTTACAGATCTTCATGCACCAAGAGCTTGTAACACTTCAAAGAGAATGGAAAAATTGAAATCGCATCATATGACCCCTTTAAAAAAGTTTTATTTTGTTATTGAGTCCTAATCCACATTTATTATGAGAGTTAGTAGAACTGGCTGCACTGGAGGATGGTTTATTGACAGTCTGGAAATGAAGCACTCTTTGTGCTTTGAATTTGCATAATGCATGTTGTTAGACTCTTGCTGTTAGAATTGGAGTGATCACAAATGCTACCTCACTAGTGTTAGTTACAATGTTTTCATGTTTTCAAAAACCCTTGAATTTGGTGATACAGAATGGTTTAAAAAGTTTGGGGTTGGTAAGATTTGTTAATTTTTTTTATGCTTTTGAAATCATCCTCCCATGCTCATCAAAGCTGCATTTCTTTGATCAATAATACAATAAAAACTGAAACATTTGTGAAATATTATTGCAATATAAAGTGACTGTTTCTATTTTAACATATTTTAAAATGTTATTTATTCCTGTGGTAGCAAAACGTAAGACATATTTCTTATCAATGTTGAAAACATTTGTGGTGCTTATTAATTTTGTCTAAACCGTGATTCATTTTTGTTTCAGGATTCTTTGAATAAAAATAACTACTTGTTTGTTTGTGTTTTAACTTAATTTGTTTTTAATAAATGTCTTCACTGTTGCTTTTGGTCAATTTAAAGTATCCTTGCTGAATAGTAATTTAATAAATCAAATACAGTGTTCAGGTATTGAAGTTAATATTTTGATTTAAGTTTAAAACTCACTTGGTTATTATAAATAAATGATTTGTTGAAAAATAATGTTAATGCTATGACCAAGTATTTGATGACTTCAGATGTTTTACTGTGTGAAGACATAAAGCTGCTCCAGTAGCGTTTGAGAAGTCTGAATGTTTCTGTAGTGTTATGTGAGAGGCAGGGTGCTCAAACATGAAGTGAGAAGCTATTTCTGAGGATGACTGTATTTGCGTGTGCCCTATAAACAGGGCAGTGAGAGCAGAATGGGGAAGCGGCTTAATGGCAATGGTATTGTTTTTTAGCTTGTGTTTGAAATATTGAGACCAGTGGTTTTACAACACATCTCAACGGTTACCTGAATCGCTAGCTCTGTATGTCACAGTGTGACCATCTTATTGTATGGCATTCATCCTTCTAATTTTTTTTCATTTATAATATTATAAAAGATCTATATTTCCGTTATAGAAATAAATTGCAATTGAAAATAATTTTTAACAGAAAAGTTTTTACATTGTAGTAATATTTCACACTATTACTGTTTGTACTGTATAAATAAATGCATTTTTTCCCCCCAAGTTCACATCCTACAGTGCCAAATGTTGGATGTGTTGAATTGGTATCCAAACACACTAAGCCGCAAGCCGCCCATAGCTTTGTAAAACTGACCCGCCCAGAAAAAGAGCCATTGCTTCCTTAAGCACAGCTGAGTTCACTATAGGAAGCACAAGCAGGCAGCCTCCTCTGACTCCTTGCATCTGACCGCATTCAGTGATGGGATGGACAGTCCAGCCTCTCTTACAAGACATTGCATCATGGTCTGCTCAGTTAGACGTTCCTGACATTGGACTCGTTGCTCTAAACATGGCACGAGCACAACTCTGCCCCCACTGTGCTGAAACATAACATCTCACAGCTCTTAGTCAGCTAACACATTATCTGAATATTTATTTTAAGTGTAGAGATTAGGGATGCACGATATATCGGCCACCATATCGGTATCGGCCCATATCGGCTCATTTTTTCTGTTATCGGTATCGGCCTGATAAGAAAATTTGGCCGATATCTTAAAGCCGATAAATAATGCATTATTTCCTTCAGAGACACTTCAGATGCACGCTGTTCGTTTGCAGCCTTTTGTGCAATTGTACATTGTAATATTGTGTTTATTTGATGTATATCTGATTTATCTCATATAGAATGCGTTTGGATGACTGGATGTACTTCGGAAATCCTTTTTATTGTTGTTCAAAGGCTAAATGTGGCCAGGTAACTGTTTTTTTTTTTTTTTTTTACAAAAACAGCACTATTTAATTGGTATTGGCATCATGATTTTTAGATGCAGTTGGCACTCTGATAGTTTCATACCTGATGCACTCTGGACGTGTGTGTTCTGTTGACTGTCCCCACCCTTGTTTGTGGAAGCTGGTCAAAGTCGACAGTAGAAAGTGATTGTAAACTGGTTCTTCATTTGATTGAGGTTATTACAGTAGGCCATATTGATTAAGAAAGTTGGTGGTTATAGATTAAGTCTTTACCACTGCTTTAACTGTCTTGTGAAAACAGGCTGATCAAGTTGTTTAAAAAATGTTCACTATGTTTTTCAGACTTGAGTTTGTTGAGAACTGGAGGTAACATGGAGCATTAGAATCAGGGGTATTATTCAAAAATGTGTATATGAACTCTTACCTATTGGCTATTATCATTTAAGAAGAATCACTAGATGGTAAACATCAGTTTACCTTCTGGAACTAATTAAAATTTCCTAATGGACTCTTTGTCAAAAAGCATTTGTAACACAGCTGTTTATTGGTTTTCTGGAAATGCACCAGGTTATCTTGATCACCGGCTCTTGTGGAAACATGTATGCACTCCACATCACAGGGTGTGGGTAATTGAGTGTGATTATAACCAGGTAAAAGAGGGATTCGTGAGTAATTACTTTGTTTCTGATTATACACTACTATTCAAAAGTTTTGGGTCGGAAATATTTTTTAAATGTTTTTGTAAATAAGTCTTTTTTTGTTGACCAAGGCTGCATTTATTTGATCAAAAATACAGTAAAAACTAATATTTTTACAAATGGAATTAAAAGCTTTCTATCTTAATACAATTTTAAAATGTAATTTTCTCCTGTGATAGTAAGGCTGAATTCTTGGAGCAGCCAGTACTCCAATCTTCAATATCAATTTATTGTGTCCTTGCAAAAGTATTAATAAAAAATTAATTTCTTCTTTTTTTTTTTAAAAGAACATCACTGACCCCAAACTTTTTAACATTAATGTAATTTAACTCTGCTTTTAAGATAGTTGTGGTCTATTATTCCAGCAGCACTGGAGCTGTTGTTCTTTTAACAGTACGTTGAAGGAAGTTGTGCAGCTTGCCTGGTTTCTGGGTCATCTGGAGCTGCATTCTTAAGGTTCCTGAGGAAGTTCCTCCCCCTTTCCCTCCATCAGCACCTCCTGAATATACTACCGATTAAAGGCCATTCCAACCACCCACTTCTGCATATCACCATCATGCCCAATTCCATATAGGCTACTCCTGTATATTAGCCCGACATGCAGTGAATAACATTGTTTTTGGTTGCAGTTAACATGTTCTGTAGTGCTGTGTGAGGATGAGGGCTTGTGCAGGGATCAGACAGGGTCTTAAGAATGTGCTGTCAGCTCTGTTCACATCTGAGCTGCTCTTCCACAGGCCTCGGCTGCTCAGATGTGTCCAGAACAAGTCATGATTTCAGCAGTTTAAGTTACACAACAGATAATAAACTGTTGGGTTAAAACCATGCTACAAATTCTTGCTTATGCTAAGATTTATTATTTTTGTAATGAGAATTCCCCCCCCCCCCCCCCACTGTTTCTCTTTGT